TTTTCTCCAGATATATGCCCAGGAGTGGGATTGCTGGATTATATGGCAAATCTATTTTTAGCTTTTTAAGGAATCTCTATACTATTTTCCATAATGGCTGCACCAATTTACACTCCCACCAACAGTGTAGAAGAGTTCCCCTTTCTCCACACCCCAAGGAGGAGTTTTAATACCAAATAATTGGGGGAGGTATTTGTCTAATAGCTGGAGATGAATGATCTCGGAGCAGTCAGTGTACAGAGATATGGAAAGACAGGCAGGTTGTCATGAGGAAACCCCGGCAGCAGGTAGCAGAGTTCCAATCACTGGAAGCCCCCCCCCCCCGGAAAAGTGCTGTGATGGCTACTGCAGACTGGCTTGCTCAAGATCAATTCCCACCTCCTGCTAGTGTGGTTTCCTATCCTGCAGAAGCTGGTGAGCTAAAATCTACACTTCCCACATTTCTAGATGTGATTTATGTTCTGCCAACCAGCTGCCTTTACAGAAGACTAAAATCCAGAACTGAAATAAGAGTGGGGGGAACATAGCGTGAGGCTCCTATTTTTGCTGGTGCGGATTGAAGTGGAAGTGATTTGATCTCGAGCTAGCAGCTGTCATCATGACTTCTTGCTTCATCAGGCAGCTTCCTGATTATGGGCAGGGCAATAGTAATTCTGCATCATGACTTGAGTGGTTTTTTTTTTTTCTGGCCACAAAATACAATTTTTTTCTGCAAGATCAGACTAAATTCTCTTCAGCTGATAAACATTATTATAAGCCATTTAATATCCCATAAACCAAATTCCTTTCTGCTGACACAATCTAGAGTAGGTTTTGTTCTCTATAATTGAACCCTCACAGGGCAATTACTGGCTATAGTGATCGTAAGCAACAGACTCTCAAAGAAATGAAATTTTGAGATTGGTTAGCTCACCGGTTGGAAATAAAGGCAGCTAAGCTTCTGCTAGTATCATAAGATTGACACCAGCTGCATACTGGTGATGTACTAACTTAGAGTTAACATATCTGGAGTTGTGTAGAATAAGAGATTCTTCATTATGGGAAGAAAAAGAATGTAAGGACTGTTGTGGGGATGTGGGGTGGGTTTTTCTATCAGTTCCATAGAACTTAAAAGAAGTGATAAAAGGAGATTTAAAGTGTTCTGCTTAAGGTATGGTCAGAACCAGAGAACTTCCATGGCTGCCTGTAGGACTCTCAGAGGAGATAGAAAGACAGAAACAGAGCCAGATCCTCTGAGTTTCTGAACTGCAGTGTAGGGTGGATTCATAGACTTCACATCTCTTCTGTGAACAAGAGGGCATTTGGGGGAAAGAATGGGACCAAGGAAAGAAATAGGGAATTTGATGGATTCTTATGTCTCTCAGTACCTTAAAAGCCTATATTCCACCAAGTATTCCTTGAAAGCAAACTTGTTTCCTATTTTATGAAGCTGCTCCTTTCTTGCCAGAAGGCTCTGTGATGACTTCACCTGAGGGAGTGCAGTCAGCAGGGAAGCCAGTCTTTCCCGAGCTGTACACCCCAACATCGCCTTCAGAGCCTTCACTAGAATCAAACCCCAGCATGCTGCTGTGGTGGCAAACACAGTCCAAGCTGGAGGGAAAAGATTTATACAACAAAAAGAATCATAAGATTTTGCTCATTTGCGATGGCAAAAACTTGCAGTCTGTGTGGGAATGGATTCCAAGGGTGTCAGACCAAGAAGGGAGAAGCTTAATTTGGATTGGGTTGATGATTTTGCATTGGGTGCACTTGCCAGAGATTCTGGGTTCAATATGCTCCCTTGAGCAGCTCAGAACATTTAATAGAAACATGGGTATGGGGGTAGCCAATGCTTAAGCTATGATGCCAGAAAGTTCTTGGGGCAGTGTAGGGAAATGGATGTAAAGAGAAGGAAACACTGGGGTATATTTATGATGTGCAAATCACTCATCAACACTTGTTTATGTCTCCCGAGAGACTAAAGGACACTTCCTTCAGCAGGGCACTATGGCTGACCTCTGATGGTAGAAGCTGCTCACAAAGAAAAGGGCTCCCTGATTTCTCTGGGTGTGATGGGGTCCCAGGTGGCAAGGTACAAGGGGCAGCACAATGACAGGACTCAGAATAGAGGTGAAATGTGGTTATCATTACAAGTAGCAGGGCTGGACCGATGATCACAGGTTTTGAATGTCAAGGATATTTGACAGTGGTTAATGGAGTAAGAGGTTCCCCTGAAAGAAATATACAGGCCTATTCTCATCCTCCTGGATCTGCATAAACTGACACCAAAACAAAAGTAAAGTCTAGGTGACCCGATAAACTCTAATTACAAGTTATAGCTCTTTACTGGTTCACTGCCCTACAGCCCATAAATGATAATGTACCCTATGATAGTGCGGCAAACACTGTTCATCTTCTTAGTGGTCCCCTAAGAAGGATCTGCAGCCATCTGTCAGGAAAATGGCTGTACCCAGCAGGAAGGAACCACCCAGATCTTTGTGGGATTACTGACAAGAGCTGTAACTAATATTAATGCCAGGGGACCCAGAAATGCCAGTGTGGTCCCCTACTCAGGAGGGATTGATTGAAGTTAGGGAGTATAAATAAAGCTTTGGTTTGGGTTTATTGCACAGTGGGTCAACGTGGGCCAACTGGTGATTCATTCTATGGTTACTTTCCCAGTTTCCATACGTATGGCTAGAACAGGCATACTCATCAACGTCTGCATACTGGCTTCCAGATCCATGGAATGAAGGCTCTGGCTGGGCGAGAGGAAGCTTCTGTACCAATATGATGCCACAATAAACGTAAAGCAACGCCACACACCTGGAAGGGTGGTAGAGGTGAGTGTTACTATCAAACCTTTCAGAAAGGGAGGGGTAATAATTTTTATTTCATTCTCAAATTCCCACCGCCCCACCTCCCCCTATCCTCATTAAGCTCTTCTGTTTGACCAGAGAGAAGACTGATGGGTCTTGGGAACAATATCAATGGATTATCGGAGCTTAATGAGAGAGTGATTCCAGTTGAAGCTGCTGTCCCATATGTGGTTTATTTTCTGAAGCCATTGGACACAGATCCTTATGCCTGACAGAATTGTCAAGTTGGCAATTTTTTAAAAATTAAATACCCAATAAGAAGAGGACCACAGATTCAGTTTCCTTTTTTGTTTTATTTTGTTTTAATTCTTATTTTTTATTGAAGTGTAGTTGATTTACAATGTTAGTTTTAGGTGTACAGCAAAGTGATTCAGTTATACATATACATACATACATATATATATTTTCAGTTTATTTTCCACTACTTCTCATTACAAGAAATTGAATATAGTTCCCTGTGCTCTACAGTAGGTCCTTGTTGTTTATCTGTTTTATATATAGTAATGTGTGTCTATTAATCCTAAACTCCTAATCGCCTTTGAAGTAGTAGGAAGCAGCAGAGGACAATGGGTTACATCAACTTTCTGGCTCTGTTTGGTAATTTAGTTCAGAGATTGGCTAACTTTTCCTGTAAAGGGCCAAATAGGAAATATTTTAGGCTTTGTGGGCCACAAATAGTCTTTGTTGCATATTCTTCTTCTTCCTCTTTTTTTTTAATAAAACAACCCAACAAAGTAAAAACCACTCCTAGCCTGCAAGCTTTATAAAAATAGGCTTTAGGGCAGATTTGGCCTCCACGCCACAGTGTGCTGGCCCCTGATTTGGTCCATGGGCTCCTTAGACGTCGCACGAGTCTGCGTGAGAACACGCTGCTCCATTACATTGCTCATGCTGTAACTATGACCCCAGTAAGCAGAAAGTAGACCTGGATGTCCTGGGAAGACATGCTGATGTCAAAAATGGGAGAGAAATCTTTTGAAAGTTCAATTTCCAAGTCACAGAGCTTATTTCCAGAAAGCTGTCTTTAGTTCTGGGTTTCAGAAACCAGGAAAATCCATCAGGAGCACTGGACACAAGCTGAGAGCAATGAACAGTAAGTGTGTCTTGAAGCCGGCCCCTCCATGTAGTGTGGCTGTTCTCAGGCTCTTCCCACCAGGGGACTTTGGAACTGAGAACTGGCTGAACTGACACCAGGGTGTCACATGGCTCCACCTGCAAGGAGAGGAGGGATACAGTGGCCAGAAACCAGGTGCTTGGAGAAATAGGTCCCTGCCACATTGATCCTGAGCCTCTTCCACCAGTAAGCCATTTTGATTGAGGGTCTTGTCTGACTGATAGGAGGAAGTCAAAAGTTGACTTTATTTTTATTCCTCAGATTCCTAGAGAAAGAAATATACCTATAGGTTGTATAAAAATGGCTATGTTCCAAGGCAATTTTAAAGAAAGAACCATTCAGATATTGCTGAAAACCATGTAATAGTGTAGTTGTGAGTGCAGAAATGACTTTTCTTCTTTATTCATTTTAAGAACAGTTTAAATGGGTTTGTGCATCATAAAAATTTAGCCTTTCATCAATCTTGGCTAAATAAACTGCAGTATCCCTGGAATGTAGATGACCAAGGGACACTTACTATTTCACATGGTATGCTTTCTCTTTTGGAACTAATAAAAGCCACAACTGCATGCTTTATTATAAAAAGCAGAACAGAATCTGGGCAGTTTTTTCCTTATTTCAGAAAGACAAAGCTCAACAATGAATAACATATTAGGAATCTGACCTGAACAGTAAGAGACTTGACTTTCTTGTTGCCAGGCCGGCTTAACCCCATCCATAAGCGTGGCCTGTAGTGGTGATAAGTACTTGAACCTTTTTCTTTGATTTCATGACCTTTAGCAGAAACATAAATTCACTGCATGTGTGTATGTTTTCACCCAAACTGTTTTCTTACATATCTGAACGTGCATTAGTTTCATTAAAGATCTTTACTGGCCTGATGCCCAATATCCCTGTCAAGCTGAAATTGCGAGCTCACAGTTCCTTGCTCTCAGAAACGATGCTAGGCTGTCCTTTGGACTCTCTAGAGAAGCGTGGACACCTGATCGAAGGCCAGCCTAACCATACATCAGCAACGAAGGAAGTAGCAAGAGGCTTTCTTCTTAATAGAAGAGAGATTAATTGCCTCAGTCAGCCTGATGCTATCCTTTGTAATTTGCACTGAGGAGAATGCAGGAAGTCATTCAATTGGAAGTAGGAGGAGAAAGAGGAAGCTCCAAAAAGAAGCATAGACAGTGAAAGTCGCTGAGATGTATTAATGATCACAGGGAAGGATGCAGATCAGAAGAGGGCAAAACTGGTCCAGAATGGCAGTGGCCCCCAAGTTTTCTTCATCCTGCCACTCCTAGCTGTCCACTCTGAGGTGATCAAGATCCCAGTAGCAGCAATGACAGTGGCTTCTCTGGCAGAGAAAAATGAGAGGTACAGAGAGGGGACCCATCGGGCCGACCAACACCACGGACTCCTAGTATTTCATGTCTGCCCAGGGTACCTCTGTCCCTTGTAACTATCACCCAAATGTGTGGCTTCTCTAGACTCTGGGGATCACACCTCCCTGCAACAAATTATTAAGTGTATGGAAACTGAAAAATACAACGAATTAGTGGATATAACAAAAAAGAAGCAGACTCACAGCTACAGAGAACACACCAGCGGTGACCAGTGGTGGGTGGGGGTGGGGTAGTATAAGGGCAGAGGATTAAGAGGTGCAAACTATTTTGTATAAAATAAGCTACAAGGATATATTGTCCAACATAGGGAATATAGCCAGTATTTTATCATAACTATAAATGGAGTATAACCTTTAAAAATGACTCACTATGTTGTACACATGAAAATTCTTTAATATTGTAATCAACTATACTTCAATAAAAAATTAAAATAAAAAAACCAAGAGTTGGAGCTGATTTTTGGAGGTCCAGTATTTTTTTTTTGGATCCAAAGAATGCTTTTAAGTTCTACCAGTTTGTTCCAGTTTAGAGTCCCTTCAACCAATCATCTTCTCGTTCCAGCTCCAGGATGGCGGCTCCACATTGCTGCTGCCTCTGATCTACCCGGGAGGGGACAAAGTCACCAAGGCTCAGCCGAGATCCTGCTGCTGTGTTAACTGTGCTTCACAGGTGACCGATGGGCACAGGAAGGAGCGACAGTGGAGGAAGAACAAGCAAAGAACAGGCAATTTCTTGGGATTTCTTCTAAAGCGTAAAGACCGTGTCCTTCTATCATGGTACCTGGGATGTAGGGGCAGAAGAGGGTGGAGAGGGGATGTTACTTGGGCTGCCAATATAGTGCAAGGGGCACTTGGCATCCTTGAACAAAAAGTGCCTTTGATCTTGGGCTTCCTGCCTGGAGTTCAGTTGCCTCAAAGTCTTTTGAGGTCCAGCAAAAGAGAGGTCTAGTTTCTGTCTCATCCACCACTCCTAACCTCCAGCTCAAAGCCTACCTCCAGGAAACATAATTGTCTTCAAAGATGTAGTAGGGCCTAGAATGAGGGCTGCCTTTTTCATTGTTGTGTAGAGCCGTTGCTCCCTCACTATTTTGAACATCCCATTGAAGAATAATATTCTTTTTGGCTTTACCATTACAAAAGCCCACCAAAGCACTTTTTCTCCTCTCAAATCAGAAGAAATCTGACCACGTGGTTCAAGTTAATCTTGCATTTGGAGAACTTGATAAAATGTTCGCAGTTTTAAAACAGTAGTATTCACCTGCCTCCTGCTTTGACTTATCTCTGAGTACGCTGTTTATCAAAGTTTTAAAATACACTGGAGACTAGTCTCAGCTAGAGCTTTTGGTTACAAAACCAGAAAAGGCTAACGCAGACAGGGAGGTTTTTATTTTTATATTATAGAAAGCATAAAAAGAGTCACTCATTTGTTTTCATTATAACTTTCATGAAAGTGAAATTCAGTCCTATAAAATGTTACTTCATCTTAGACCAAATAAAATGGTTGTCTTCGGTTGTCTTTTCACATTGATGAATGTCCTCAGCCTTTTCCTAAGATTTCAAATGATCCTATTTGCCCATAAGTGCTATGTTTAAAAGGAAGAACACTTTTGAGCTATCTATAATGATTTCTCAGCTTTTACCTTAGAGAATATTGCAGTGCATTCTGCGTGAAAAGCTTACATTCTGTTTACAAAGAAAAATATCTGTAACTTTATACTTTGCTGGAATATGTTATAGAAACTAATACTCCAATGTACATGAAAAGTTACTCTGGAATTTCATAAGTCTTGGAAAAGTTAGTGGTTACACACACACACACACACACACACACATGCATGCACAGGTACACACACATTCATCAATTTGTGTAACGTGGGATAATATTTTTCATATAACCCAGATGAATTTTCTCCTCATGCTAGTTCCGATTCATTCTCTATCTTCTCTGGCATTATTGCTACAAGAAAGGGAAGCATAATTGCTGCCGGAGAATGGGGAGGCTGTGATAAAAGAGCCTTTGTGAAAAGGGGAGGGAAGTGGAAAACCAGGAAGGGAGAAAGGATAGGAAATGAGAAAAGGACAGAAATGTAGATGTGACTGTCCTTTTTATTCTTTAGAGGTTACTCTTCAAGGGAGAAAGAGCAGATCCACTGAGATATTTTCTGAAGAACCCCAAACATGGCACCTCTCAGAGAAGTTCCACGCTCAGCTGAGGGCAGCATTTAGAGAGCACTGACAGAGGAAGGCTCTGGATGGAGGGGCCATGACTTCCCATGATCTTCATGTGCTACATGGGACTCTAAGGTTCCTGGTGACTTTGGGAAGAAGGCAGAAGTGCTGAGAAAACCAGGGGTCAGAAGATACCTCAGGACGAAGTAGACCCCCTTCCAAGCAGAAGGTCCAAAAGAGGTGAAGTGGACCCTAAAAACTAACAGATTTTTCAGCAAGTATGATGAGAGGTTCAAGTTGGATATAACTTGATTTAAAAACAAATAAATGTAAAACTCCCTAAGCTCCGGATGCTCAGGGTTTTCTAGAACCTTCACATCTGTTATATTAAATAAATAAATAATAAATGAAGCATGGTTTCTATTCTTAGGAGGAGCCTACGACCCAGTGAAGGAGACACAGGGGGCAACAAATCCAATACAGTAGGTGATACAACTGAGGCAGGTCCCCGGTGCTGGGGAAGCAAGGAAGATGGCTAAATGGATGGTCCCCTGGGAGTCGGTGAGACCTGCTCTGAAGGATGAGCATTTTCATTTTCATCAGGTGGACTGGCCTGGTCTCTGCACTGAAATGCCTCTCTGTGGAATTTGTGCCACTTATGTTTCCCCAAATCCCTCACGTGTCCAACATCATCTCCTTCATGAAGATTTTTCTGATCCTTCCAACTAGATTTGACTTCTGTAGTCTGATTTTCATGGCATGTCAGCTTAATCTCTCTCCTCATTTTGTACTTTATACTTATTTTGTTCTCTCAGCTAAATGTTATGCTCTTCTCTGAGTTGCCACATCCCTGCACCCTGAGTGTACGAGACACTCAATAAATGTGATGTTAAATTGAGTAGTAAATAAATAAAAGAGAATAGGTTTAGGAAAATCAAGTCTAAACCTACTAAATGATGTGCTCTCTGTAAACAAATTTCCTTCCTTCTTTACCTTTTTATTCCCAGAAGTTCATGTAATTCTTGGCAGAATAGTAGGTGCTCACTAAATGCTTGTTGGAATTTAATAGGGAAGACAGTTGTAAAGATAAACTGGGAGTTAGAAGTGGTTCTGCAGAAGGTTTCTATTTCAAGCTTTGTGGAAAATTCTCCTCTCAGATACCAAAGACTATAGCTCCTTTAGCTTCTTTGGAATGATGATGCTGTTCACAGGTGCTGACCAATACCTCTGTGACAAATTTCATTTTGTAGGTGACAGTGAAATACCGAGCCAAAAACATACAGATGAGAAGGTGTCCTGTTGAAACTCCACTTTTTCCTCTTCCATGTCCATCTTCTTCAGTCTTGGCAAGGGGCTATTGGGTGGATACATTGTGCAAGGCGGATGCCAGCTCATCTCGTGAACTTATGGTGTCACAAAGGATTCTCACAACCATTCTATCTCTGAGGTAGGTAATATTATCCTCACTTTTCAGATAAAGAAGCCAACTTAGACATTTTAAGGCACTCATCAAAAGGTCACACAGCTGGTGAATGGGAGCACCATGATGGGGCCCTAATTTGTCTGATTTCAAAGAACAAATCTTGTCTTGATGAACAAATGAAACCTTGATGGGTGGGGTCTCTGGAGATACAGGTTTAATCGGGAGATATAGTTGGGTGCAATTCTTCTGACTTACTCTGGTGATCAAAGCTGGTCTATTCCAGCCTAAATCAGGTCACTAGGAGATGAGAGAATTTGATTATATGAAGAAGGGACCCAGGATGGTCAACTGACAGGAAGACTGGATGTAGTGAAGTTTTTGAAAACAGAGGGAGAAGGGTCTATCTGGATGTTGAAGAGTGGAATGCAAGATAGAGACATTGCTGAACAAGATGTGACAAAATATTCAGGAATATCGCTACCATCAGTGGCTCTGCTGACCACAAACCTTCCCTACAAATATGTCTGGTATGTAAGTTTCTCCTTTGTTGTATGCCACTGGTGACATTCTTAGGTAATAAAGTACTTGCTGGAAAATAAGGAGGAAGAAAAACAACTCAGATGTTTTCATTTTGAAGGCTTCTGTTAAAATAAAAAGCTTTATATTTCTCAAAGTGAAGTGGCATAATACTGTCACCTCTACTCCTTGAATACAGCTATCTTTACCCAGTGATGGTCTATAATTTCTCCATTTATGATTCTGTTCTTTTGCTGGCATTTACTAAATATAATCATGTGAGCTATTGTGCTGTAACCTACAGACACTCTATGAAAACAGAAGTTCAAATAATACATTAGTGGAAAATTATACATATTAGCAGCATCTTCCAGTTGAAAAGATTCTTCATACAACCAGATTTTAAAAACCAGATCCCTTAGGCAAATATTCTTACTCTGGCTTCATAGATGCTATTCCAGAGGAATCTATGTACTTGAAAAATGCATTAAAAATGTGAGGTATAAAGGATATATTTTTAAAAGTCAGCAGGGTCTTTAAATCTCAGGTATAAAAAGTAGAACATAATTTTTCTACAATAAAATTAACTTATGAGCACCCATTTGTACACAGAAACAGAAAACTTTTAGTTTTCATAGTCCCAGCCAGTCTTCTAAACCAAGGCCATCCTGTTTTAAAACTCACCCAGTTGAAGGTACCGCTGCTCCCTCTCCTCCTTCTCTCTCACCTCTGGGGTAGCTTGTTGGTCCAGGGGAGACTTAGAAGCATCATGACATTGGCGGGACATGTCTGGGTGTTGATGACCCCTCTCATTTTCTGCAGAGATGACTTGGCCTCTGTTCTCCAGGTGTGAGTGACGCACGGCATCGCCCTAGGGCACAGCTGCTGACTGTTCTGAGCTCATTGCTTTGGCCCCGTGCCTGGTCTGGCAATGCCACAGAACTGTAGGCTCGTCTCCGCGTACCGGTCAACAGGCCACACCCTTGCTTGGTCCTGCGTCTGGCTGCCCTCCTGGGTGGCCTCCTTCATGTCCCACTGGCTGTGTTTCTCAAAGAACTTCCAGGCCTCCTGCAGCTCACAGGAGCCCCTTGGTCACCACTAAGGCACCGTGAGCAAGCCCAGGGGCTGGCAAGGCGTTAATTCTCAGCCCTTTAGAATCTAGAAAAAACATACTACCATTTATTTTTCCACTTTACACCCTCGTGTTGTGGGTTCTTCCATTAAGACCGGGGTTTTGCAAAGACTCCAATGGGAATACTGAGTACAACTTTT